TTGTTAAAAAAAATAGATTTATTAATAATATAAATTATAGAGGAATATTCTATCTATATTAGCTTCATTACAACAACAATAAAAAGCTTTATCAATACCTTTTAGTCTTATACAGATTCTCCAAGCAGAAATGTAGGATACATGCAGGAAAAAAGTAATAGTACCTTAATGGTAATATGATATTTATATACAGGAAAAATTATATAAAGACAATCAAGCTAAAAGGTATATTATTCTGGGTAAATTGGAGAAAAGTAAATTTATTATATAATGGATTTACCACGGATTCACCGCAAATGAAGATTAAAAAGTATTAGCTTCATTACATTTTTCTGTTAAATTACTTTATATTTTAATTCAATGTTATCATTGCATCGGCCATCTCACTAGAACACTATCTTCTGTTTGCTGTGAACCATTTATTTATATTATTTTATATATTTGTCTGTGTAATAGATAATAAAAATGCATTTATATTGTATTGAATAAAATATTCATTTGCCAATATTTCGGTCGGATGAATCCCAACCTTTATCAAGGCATTACATTATGTAAGAACTTCTGTATGAATTTTGTATAAATTATTCAAAATGTAATGCCTTGACAAAGGTTAGCATTCAGCCACAACGGAAATATTGTTAATTAAATATTTTTATTCAATACAGTCAGTATTCGCCTTTTTATTATATAATGATTTAAGTATGGATTTTGCTCTTCAACGGTCAAATACTTTTGTTCACAATATCAAAAGATCATTTTATTATTGAACACAAAAGTATTCGCTTGGTTGAAGAGCAGAAATTTGCTCGAACACTTGCAAAAATCTGAAATGAATTTTTTACCCGAATTCTATTTTTCCCTTTTCAAATATGACCAATATTTATACGTATAATCTTATACATAGAATAAATCACTATATCAAAATTAGTTTTTTTTTTTAGGAATCTCAAAAGTTGAGAAATGCCAAGTCTATGTTAGGAGAAGTAGTGCTCCTCTTTGCGTGCAGTATGTAAATAGAATGGGACAATGCCAGTTCGGTCTAACCAGGTCGTCCACAATGGTCGAAGTTTCCTCAACAGCAGGACAAAGATCCAAGGCCACTAATCAATTAATGATGGATGAATGCGACAGAAAGATGAAGCCCTAATTAGGGTACTTATGCAAATATGTGTGATTATGTAATTAGGAAAAGAAGGCTCTAGTGCTAATAAAATTAATATAATAGTACCGACATTGTGGTTCTTTTTTTTTTTTTTCCTTTAGCAAGCGTGGAGTTGATTGATTGCGATGGTGTTTTGATTTAGATTTAATTTCTTTTTCGTCATATATTTAAGATGGTTGGCTAGTTGTAAATCTAAGTAGTCCCCTCGTGTCGATCGAGTATACGATTTTAAACTGTGGAATAATAATTTTTGGAATTTATTGATTCAAGCAAGAATATTATTGTACAAAATACCAAAAATATATATACTATATATGTTTTTAGCAAGATGATTGTAAAAAAATACCAAAAAAAAAATATATATATATTGATTTCAGCAAGATTATTGTATAAAATACCAAAAAATATATATTGATTTTAATAAGAATATTTTTGTACAAAATACCAAAAATATATTGCTTCCAGCAAGATTATTGTATAAAATTGGACACGCAAACAACAACAGCAAGATTGTTGTATAAAATTGGACACGCAAACAACAACAACAGCAAGATTTTTGTATAAAATTGGACACGCAAACAACAACAACAGCAAGATTGTTGTATAAAATACCAAAATATATATTGATTACATGATAAACAATAATATAATTGTATAAAATACCAAAAGATATATTGATTCCAGCAAGATTATTGTATAAAATACCAAAAGATATATTTGATTCCATGATAAGCAAGATTATCATTGTATAAATACCAAAAGATATATTGATTCCAATATAAGCAAGAATATCATTGTATAAAAGACCAGAAGATATATTGATTCTATGATAAGCAATAATATCTCTCATTGTATAAAATACCAAAAGATATAATGATTTCATGATAAGCAAGAATATCATTGTATAAAAGACCAGAAGATATATTGATTCTATGATAAGCAAGAATATCATTGTATAAAAGACCAAAAGATATATTTATTCCATGATAAGCAAGAATATCATTGCATAAAAGACCAGAAGATATATTGATTCCATAATAAGCAAGAATATCATTGTATAAAATACCAAAATAATATATTGATTCCATGATAAGCAAGATTATTGTATAAAAGACCAAAAGATATATTGATTATAATATAATCAAGAAGATTATTGTATAAAATACCAAAAATATATTGGTTCCAGCAAGGTTATTGTATAAAATGACAAATATATATATTAATTCCAGGAATAACATGATTCTTATACATAAGGAAAAATAATATTGCCCTCGTGATCATCACACATTTTACATTAGGCCAAAAGACCGATGCTTCTAATATCAACATGATTCTTACACAAGTCAAAAAGAAAAATGCTTCCACGGGTTTCGCCTATATCCATCATCATCAGTGATGCAGTCTACAAAATTTCTTGGTCTTTTTCAATCAAACTTCTGTTTCACCATATGTTTAGTTGTATTTATTCGCAAATATAAATTGTAGCTCTGTGGCCACTGGACGTGCATCGGACCTGGAGGCTGTTGGGCTCTGCGCTGCCTGAAGTGTAGGAGCTGTATCTATGATTTCTTCCTGTCATGAATCTGTATAAGACCGGTGGTCTTAATAAAGCTGTATGTGTGTGTAAATTGTAGCTGATATAATAATGTAACTTTTCGACCTATCATCTCAAGGAACTATGCCTCATTATGAGGAGAGATGAAAAACCCTAGTGCATATGATTTGTCACATCACACAGAAAATTCCAGAAATACTTACATAAAAGAGGTCTATCAGAAATACCAAATTGTTCCTGCGGGGAAACTGAACAAACTTCGCTCTTCACCTTATCTACGACTGTCCGAACTTTGTAGAAGTGAGATATCGATTGTTCCCTGATCTAAATGATTTAACTCTTTTACTATCAGCCACTTTGTCTATATACATTTTAGAACTCTGTCGATTAATACATGTAAATATGTAAATATTTAATTATAAGTTATAATTTGTTTGTTGTTTTGTTTGTTTCCTCTGTAATAGGCACAAATATTTCAATACCGCGCCTGGTTGATTAATAAAAAAAAATGATTTGACATGAAAATATCAGCGGTAAATTTTTGTAATAAAATTATAAAAGCAATAATAAAGAAACAAGACTGATGGGTTCGACACATTGTAAATAGCATTGCTAATTATTGTAACTATTGTTCCTGTATATACCCTCTTCTACGTGGAGAAGTTGTATAAGACCAAAAGGTCATAACAGGGACTTTTGTTGTTGTTACTACTGTTTTTCTTATATGTACCCTACATTTCTGTGCTTGGAGAATCCGTATAAGACTAAAGTGTCTTAATAAAGCTTTTTGTTGTTGTTGTTGACTGATGGGTTCAAATCCATTCGCGTGTAAGAGCTTCAAAAATATATTTATCTTTAATGCTAATAAATAATTATTTTTATGCTAATTAATAAGTAAGAGAAACGAATGTGGAAGACTTTTTAATACGAATCTTTCGAATATTTATTCCAAATCTGGCTTTTTTTTCTATATTTTATTAGTTTTTCATATGAATAGCGTATTAACGCAAACTTGGCCTTAAATACCCATTTCTTGATTTCTCAGGAAGCCTCCAGGAGCAAATTTTGGTCGTAGAGGTACAGCTAGAACCCCGCTGACAAGAACCAACAGCCTGAAACGTCGGTGGTTGACTTTTCTTGATTTATCAAGAAATTAGGCTGGTCAAATATCACGAAACAAGTTGAATCAGCGTTTATTTTATTTTTGTTCCGCTAGATGACGCTTTGTCATCTAGAAATGTTCATGTGAGCCTGGTCAGGATATGCCTTTTTTTCTTCTTTTTTTTTTTTAATATGAATACCTGACTTTTCTTCTATTTTCAAAAGATATATATATATATCACCATAGTACAAAATTTATTCGTATGTACAGGAGATGTGCCTATCTCTTTGTCATTCCTAATCAAACATTTATTTTTAAAAGGCAGACGGCAATATTTCAGAAAGTCATTTCCTGAGATAATTTTAATAAATTCATAGAAAAACAGTCTGTAAATTATACAGTAAGTTGCACGCGATGTGTGGATGAATACATTAGTAATATATAGAGGTTGTTCAGGTACATTTTCAAGAATTTATGTTTTAGAAAACATTATAATAACTCATTTAAAAACAGATTACTATTTTGATTTGCGTTAAAGGAAACTTTCAAAGTATTTTCTTTTTTTTAATTTATGCTCAAAATGTGGCAAACTTCCGAGATTAGTTCTTCACAAGGTCTTACCTTACTAAGTGAATTTGAAAAGAGAAATCTTCAAATCAAATAAGGGCAGAGATTGTGCAATACGCGAATCAAACCTTTAGAAAGTCACTAAATCTATTTTGCACACATTATATACCAAAATATATACTCGTGGACAAAATTTAAGGAAGTTATACCTTTTAGTATGTATATCGGGATTCAAACAATAACTCTGAAATATATTACAGTGACCTTTATTGAAGACACACGAGATAACCAAGTATGAACAAAATTGCCTCTGTCTTCTTCAAAACAAAAAAAAATATATATATACGGCCGGTGATATCAAAGACATTCCACTTCCTTAAGGTTTGTCTATGACACTTTTATTTTTCGGTTCATCATTACTCTTCACAATTCATTTATTCATACTTCATCCCTAAGGATAGAAATAGTCCTTATTTCTCCTTAAAATAAATTACGATTTTTCGTTCAAAAGAAACATTTGCGGTAAAAATTGTCAGATGTCGTTTTACAATCATAAGCAGCATTATATTGTATTATAAATTAACTTTATATAATATTTACAAACGGAAAAATATGTCCAGGGTAGCCTAGTGGACATGGCATCTGCCCAGTAAGCGGAACACTGTTGGCTTCGTTTCCCATCCCTTGACACTTTTATTTTTCCGTTCATCATTACTTTTCACAATTCATCCTTTCATATTTCATTCCTAAGGATAGAAAGAGTCGTTATTTCTCCTTAAAATAAACTACGATTTTTCGTTCAAAAGAAACAATTGCGGTAAAACTGATCAAACGTCGTTTTACAATCATAAGCCGCATTATATTGTAATACAAAAAGATAATAATAAATATATAGAGAAGAACTTTAGAGGCTTTCAGAGCGTTGGAAAGTTTGAAGAGAGTTTTCAACTTTAACTTTTATCAAAATTGCCTCTGTCTCCTTAAAAAAAAAGAGACGACCTGAGAAATCAAAATAAGAAACTTCCTTAAGTTTTGTTCATGAGTATATATTTACATATTGTATTCGGTAATTAGCAATCTAATCTATTTAATCTGCTGCCCCTATATGAACTCTTTAATATAAAATATATTGGTGTGAGGAAAAGGTTTGCTTTATATATCTATGAACCTGTAATGATATGGAGATACTTAAATCTCCCTCAGCCTTTTTTTCTTTTTCTCTTTTCTGAACAAGGATTTCATTTCTTCCCCTGCTTCTCATTTCTTCTTAGATTCACTTCTAACAGGAGAATCGTCTGTATAAGACGGAATGTCTTAATAAAGGCTTGTGTGCGTGATATGGAGATACTTTTGAAAAATTAGAAGCATACTAGTATATCCCTAGTTTATAGAAAAGGGCGTACCTGGATCTGTAAAGAAAAAAAAAACTTTTTTTTCTCAAAATATTTCGAGAGATTGCTACCTCTTTTTCAATTTATTGCACAGTAAACTTGACTTTTGACTCAAAATATATCCTTAGATTTACTGAATACCCTCAATATACCTTCTAATGAAATTATAGACTACATTAGAAACCAATCTATAATAGTTGTCAAGCAATTTGTCTTGTAAATGAAAAATAGTAAAAGCTAATCCCATTTAATATTAATAGCAAAATTTATATACAAGTAAAACCTAATTAAGACAATTCCTTAGTATTTATAGTGGTACTCTAAGTATATATACATTTCTAAACATGTAGAAAGCAGTCTGCATTTTGAACTTGCAAGGTGACAAAGCTGCATATGAATACTTGTTCTCAGTAGGCTTGATTGATATGGAAGCTATTTTAACTCTAAAAACAATTAAGAAAAATGCATCACCTTATCGTGCAACTGAAAGTTGCTTATGGTTTGCGCCATCTATTGAAATAAATATCACTATTCGTTGATTTTTTAAATTATTATCAGAATTGGCCAAATACCCATTCTTGATTAATCAAGAAAAAGCTAATTACGTACGCGTTTCAGGCTGTTGGCCCTCGCCAGCGTGGTGCAAGCTGTACCTTAACGACCAAAAACTGGTCATGCAGACATCTTGAAAAATCATGAAACGGGTAGTTAAGGCTAGAAGTGCGTGAGGACGCGAAACAATGTGTAAAAAATAGTTAAAATGTGAAATTTATTTACTTATTTTAATTCAAAGCGCTATGTCCCCCTAGGGACACTTGCGTTGTCATACATGTATGCATTTACATTTGTCTATACATATTTGCAATAATTTTAGACCGTGAAGAATAGTCATATGATAACAATGAGAAAGAGAGAAAAAACGAGAAAAGAGAACTGTGTACAAAAGAAAGAAGTGTCTGGCTATATGTACAATCAACATAATATAAATTATCAGTTTCTTAAAAGATATTTGTTGCTATAATGTGAAATTGTATACTGGGATAAGGTGAATAAATCAAGAAAAAGGCAACTTCTTATCGTGCAACTGAAAGTAGATTTACATTCTGGAAAAAATGTAAGATTAGACCATGACTCCTGGCTATCGAACCACGTGTATTTCACCGTGCTAACTCCAAGAAAAGATAGAGATGTTACGAAAAAGGTATAAGAAGCCGCAACTTTTTTGAATCTATTGTATAAAGCAGCTTTCGGGCAAGTCATTCCTCAGGAACTTAAAACATACATGACATAATAAAAATATGATTTTTATTATTCATAAAATAATTAAAATTCTATAATCACAGAGTTAAATTTTAAAATGAAAAGGAATCCTTAACAAAAGGAATACAACCTAATATTACTTTTATTGTAAATAGATAATAACATTGTTAGTTGTATGTATGCAAAAACTGTTTGCTTTAAAAAAAATCAAAATAATAAATATTTTTTGGGACAAAAGTTATCATTCATTTTTACCATCCACGACTGCATGAATTGGTAACGTAACTAGAAAACGTCCTTTTTTATGTTTTAGTTTGCTGAGGAATGACTTGCCCGAAAGCTACTTTATGCAATTAAAAGAGCTGCGGTATCTTATGCCTTTTTGTAATTTGTGAAATAAACGTCGGTGGATGAGTGGGTAACACCCTCGATTCCCGACAGTCATGAACCAAGATTGAATCCCGCCTTGTACCCTTTATTTTAATATGTAAATAACCTTCACATATATTATTCATTTTAGATAATAAAAAGGCATATATTGGATTTAATAAAATATTTGTTTGCCAATATTTCGGTTGGCTGAACACCAAACCTTTATCAAGGCATTACATTTTTGTATAAACAACATTTTGAATAACACTATGCGGCGCTGAGTTTGTTTATACAAAAATGTAATGCCTTGATAAAGGTTTGAGGTTCAGCTAACCGAAATATTGGCAAATAAATATTTTATTAAATCCAATATATGCCTTATTATTATCTAATGAATTAAATGTGGATTGCTCTATTTTCAAAACGATATATTATTCATTGTCGCAAATAACATAAACTAGTTTGCTCTTTTTTGAACGGTACCTAATAAAGTTATTTTGGAACAAGAAGTTGTGATTTGTCGAAATCCGTAAGCCTGTGGTAATGAAGATAAAGATGTGTTTAAATTCTCTGCTGATGATCGCCCCAGAATATTTAAAACAGACGGTTGGACATGCGAGATTTGCGGGACAAGAATGGAGCCGGGGCTACATCACCATATATTCTCATGTATGGGGCTGAAAGACGAACGAGAAGTGCCCCTCAGTGAAATAGGCCTCGAGGGACTCTCTTTGGAGCTCCTGTTGAATGAGGTGGTGAGAAACAGAGCTGGAGCGTTTGCGTTGTTCAAATTTTGGAAGACGGCTGAAGAGAAAAGGAAGCTATATACATAATCTAATTGATGTAAATAATTATATGTAAATAATCTTTGTCAGGACTAGAATGACGAATCATGTATGGGACTTTGATTCCAGTAAAAGGCTTGTTGCTGCTGTTGTATATAGTTACCGTGTAGAAAATACTACACTATACCTACTACTTATAGGTTTCTCTCTGTATTCTTAGTTCTCTTCTCTTCAATTACTCTGTAAACTGGCGAATCCTTTATAGGACGAGAGGTCCTCAATAAAGGCTTTTGTTGTTGTTGTTGTTTAAATTCTCTGAGCTTAAGAAAAGAGTGAAACGTCCAACAAACAGAAAGTAGGAAGTTGAAGAATCAAATCAATAAAGACGATTTGAGCATGTGTGGCCTCCCATTGTACTTTAGACACCCTCCGGCAGATAATGAGTGATAAGCAAGTTCCCAGAAGACAATGAACAAAAAATAAAATCGGAAGTTCGTTACCTTTTTTATATAATTTTATCATTGAGTAGATTTTATCTCTTTATTCGCGGTTATTAATTATAAACTGACGACAGATGGAAGGACTTCTATAGCAAATGTAACAGAATGCCAATATTACATAGAGAGTAAATTTATTTTTAAAACTATTATTTTTCTACTCGATTTTCTTTGCATTTTTATATTTACAAAATTCTGGAAAACAGCACAGACAATAGACGCAACACAGATGATGGATCCAACTTGAAGAAATATTCTATATACAGTTACGAGCGTCTTTCCTCATCTCCTAATCAGTCATCTCTCTCTCTGTCACCGTTTACTTTTTTTTTTTGGAATGGCGCCCTCCTATTGGTTGGCTACGGTCACGCCACCTTTGCCCCCCCCCCCCACTTGCTATTTATGTAACTATTGTGTTGGAGCGGGTCGCTCCCTAAATAAATTCATATATTAGATAATAACCAAATGGAATCCTCTCTTTCTTTTTCCCAGTAAGAGACGCCTACGGAAGCCAACAGTACATAGACAGATAAGCACATAGGCTATAGTTATTAACTAACATATGCAATTAATTAAGGCGCCAATTTATAATTGTAACAAATAGTAATTGAATCAAAACATTCAATCGGGTAAAACACGGGCGTTGCCCGGGTCCTTCGGCTAATATAAGTATCATGTCAACATTGAACTGAGAGATCCTGTCCTTGTCTGGAGGAGGACAAGATGGAGGAGCCTCCTATCCTGAGAACAGCTTTTTATATTTAATCACTAAATTGTAAATTATCATTTTCTTCGACTAAGAGTATCAATAAAATATTTAAAATTGTCAAATTTCCAACCTGGAGAAAGGTCCATGTTAATCTCGCTTTCTGTAGATAACTATTATGTTTACACTTCTGTTTACCTATTATTATTTATTTAAGTAACCCAGGTTCCTGGAGCGTACAGAAGTCGCCAACTATCCGGGATGTCCTTCTGACCTAAGTCTTCTTGGATTTATATACAATGCCAGTGGAAGTCCAATTAATGAGGTGTCGCCAGGCGAATTTCTTTCTTGGGAGATTTTCTAGGGATGCTGGACATATGTTGGTGATACCTAGGAGAGTGGCTGTTTGGAATCTTTGGTATTGGAAGGTTGGGCAAGTGAAGAGGAGGTGGTCTACGGTTTGGTCTTCATCTTGGCAGTGGGGGCAAGTTGGATCTTCTTTCGATACCGTTGCAAGGTCTGCCTGACCATGGCCGGTCAAGATTGTTGTGGAGGTAGAACCTATCTTGGAGAATTCTGTATGGGACGAGTTTCCCTAAGAAAGTTTTTTTTTTTTTGTTTTCTTTGCATTTTCCATTTTTCTAGCATGTTCAAGTGCTCTCACCATATTGATCCATGT